TTACATGTATATAGATTCTTTTCACTCCCTCTAAACCTTAATCTTCCTCTGTCAATGAACAGGAGTTACAACGCTGGCCGGGAGAAAGAGCGTGCTGAAGATGGCGCAAAGGATGACACAAAGCTTCTACCGCGCCATTGCTGCATCAAGCTATCATCAATGGACCAAAATCACCACCAAAACTGGACAGGACATGAGGGTTTCTTCCAGGAAGAACCTCCATGATCCTGGTGAGCCAACTGGAGTCATTGTCTGCGCTTCTTCCTCCCTCTGGTTACCTGTTTCTCCCACTCTGCTCTTCGACTTCTTTAGAGATGAAGCTCGTCGCCATGAGGTACCTTCTCAAACCCACAATTAAATTTACACACGCAACCAATAAAACCAGTTTTCACTCATCTAACTATGCCACCAGTGGGATACTCTGTCAAATGGAGCTCATGTTCAATCTATTGCAAGCTTATCTAAGGGACAAGACAGAGGCAACTCTGTGTCCATTCAGGTATGTTTATTTTCTCAATATCTCTTCGCATCTATAATCTGGATTTCTAAATTATAATCTTGTCCCCAATTTTCAGACAGTGAAATCGAGAGAAAAGAGCATATGGTTGCTCCAAGACAGCTGCACTAACTCATATGAGTCAGTGGTTGTATACGCTCCCGTAGATATAAACACGACACAGCTAGTGATCGCAGGACATGATCCAAGTAACATCCAAATCCTCCCCTCTGGTTTCTCAATCATACCCGATGGAGTAGAGTCACGACCACTGGTAATCACGTCTACTCAAGACGACAGAAACACCCAAGGTGGGTCTCTGCTCACACTCGCCCTCCAAACCCTCATCAACCCTTCCCCTGCAGCAAAGCTAAATATGGAGTCTGTGGAATCTGTCACAAACCTCGTCTCTGTTACACTGCAAAACATTAAGAGAAGCCTGCATATCGAAGATTGTTGATGACAATTCACAACAGGTGCCACTGTTATGAAGATGCTGTTACCAATATAAGTATATGATAATGTATAGCAGTGCATTAAGTTTTGTACAAAGAGGACAGACTCTATCTTCTGAAGTCATATTATTATCCAACACATTTTGCTCCATTAAAGAGCAACAGAACCCAGTAGCATATGAACCATCCGACAAGGAGCAAGAACCACATAACTTTACCAAAACAAAATTCAGACCAGGTGAACCAAAAGCATATGACCGAGACCACAAGTTCACAAATAGCAACGAGCCATTTAGACACAGAACTTGGATCAGAATCGAAAACATTACCAGCTCATGACCATCATTCACAATCTAACCACCACTAAATTCCACAACTTAACACCAAGCAATTTCGTACACGAAAGCAGAAAAGCAAAACGCATTTCATAATCAGACAGAATTACAATTGTTTGCAATACACAACAAACAGAGGAAGCATCCGAAATGGAAAAAAGAGACTCAGTGAATCGCATTCTCCTCTAGACCGGTTGCTGAGATTCCAAGGGAATGCCAAGGTCGTTCCCAGCTTGTCCTCCTCCTTCCGCTCTCCGACCACCCCTTGCGAGGACAGGAAGCGCCACGAATGATTTAGTCTTACTGATGGGCCTGCTCTTCTCCAGCCTCACCACATCACCCACCTTGAACTGATTGTCCGGGTCATGCGCCTGGTACTTCTTCTTCATCCTCACGCGCCTCTTGTACTTGGGGTGTGGAGCCAGCCTCGTCACCTCCACAGCCACGGTCTTGTCGTTCGTTGCGCAGACCACGCGCCCCTGCATCGTTTTCATGGCTCTGATGACCGGAACTGAAGCGGGTCTCGAAGGGTTCGGGAAGAAATTGGGCTTAGAGAGAGAAGAGAGTGGAGTGGAGCCATGGGCGAATGGAGACGAGAGCTTGAGAGATTGCAGAGAAAAGGTTAGTGACGTCATCGTTATCCCCTTCGATTAGGAAGCCAAGACGATGAGGAAGATAAGGGCGACAGATTATCTATCTATGAAGAGATAACTGATATGGGGCTTTAGTGAATGGATTTACAATATAAATGGGCCTACTCTTTTAAAAGGAATTGGAATTACAAAGCCCACTTTTAATTTTGAAAATCCTAATTCCTAATTGGCTCTTTTTGTCCCTAATTTTTGGTCTCGTCCACTATGCTTGATCAATGCCGAGCCGTCGGACTCTTGACGCCGCCTAGGGTTTCGAGGTATGAGGTCTTCTTTGTGGTGACGACGCTTAGCTTCTCCTTCAAAAGTTGATGATCATCCGACGCATCCTTCTTCAACTCCAATTCGGCCTGATCGAAGTCCCATCCCATGAAATCCGACAGCGTCATGCTCCCAACGAACGACTCCTCCTCTGATTCCAACGGTATGCTCCTCTTGTTCACCGCTCGATCTGCCTGTAGAACGTCATCGATTCTCGATAGGACTGTGTACGCCAAGCTCTCTAGTATTCTCGAGTAGCTCTCCAAGACCGCTTGACCCACGTCCTTGTTGAACTGGATTTTGCTGATGTCGAGGGAAGACTGAGACAGGCCAGGGTATCTTTGCTTGAGAATGAGCAAAATGGTCTCTGCTCGCTCTTCGAAAACCTCTCTCTTCTCCAGGCTGACGCCGGAGCCCCACGGGGCTGCTGATTTGTTGTCTTTTTGAACCATTTTGCGTTTCCATATGACTATTGATGCCTCTATTCTGTTTTTGAGGTCGACGATCTTGTGCTCTGACGACATGTCCATGGTGCTCAAGAACTGGTCCGGCTCGAAGAAGTCTACTGTTATATTCTTGTACATCTGATCTCCGAGACTCGCCCTCCCGTTCTGTATTTTACAAAGAAATCAGTTGCTCCGTTCATCAACTCAAGATCAACATCAACAACTTTACCTTGGGGAGAGAGTCGATGTAGCTCTCAGGGATCTCCATCTCGAACAAAACCTGTGCGTTTATGGCCATGGCTGCCTTGAGAACCTGGTTTACACAATCCTTCTGGTACTGCAAGAACCTCCTTGAAGTATCTGATAGACCATCTGGTGGAACTTTGACGGTCGGAATCCACCATTTGTCGTCGTTTCTCTTGTCTGAGTCAGGTGAGTCTTTTGAGACATAGCTGAATTCGCTTTGGTCCTTGAAATTTTCTAGACAATCCTAAGCAG